TGCCGAGCGTGTACTCGGTTGAATGTCCTGGTGTGTACGGCTGGACCGTACAGGGCTAGAATAAGTCGCAGGAGTGCGACGGAAAGAGCAATTTCGCGAGTTCATAGCGAGTTCATACTGACAGGTTTCCGCTGCGGCTTCTGCCTAACCTACAGGCTTCAGAAGCAGAGTCGCTCGGTAACCAGGCTCGCCCCCTCCCACGGAAGCAAGCACTAACTTTCCTGCCTGCAGGTACCCCTCCGTCTGAACGACCCCTAAGCGGTAAGGCAACTACCAAGAAAACAAAGATTTGGCTGTAATAAAGGCTTGGCATTGTAAAAGCAACGTGTGCCCTGTAATGGACACTTGGCGCTAGCCAACCGTGAGGCCGCCGCGGCCATGCCATGCGCAGGGGTTGGAATCCACAGCATCCACATCGAACACGTACGGGCCAAGGAAGGGCATCTGTACCCGGACAGGAAAACACAGCACAGCGAGGCGTGCATGGGGTATCAGGGGGTTTCACAGGGCGGTGTGCAGCCATCACAAGCCTCTCTTCCTGCTGCTTTCCTGCCTTCCTGCAGCCTCCCTATCCACAATCACATCGGCCCTCTACCTACTTACCTACCGGGGTACCTACCTCTACATATGCCAATAACGACCGGCGTCATGATCAAGCGGCCGCCACACCCTATTACCTAGGCCATGTGCACAAATCCGCTCGGTCCTCCTTTTGCTGTACGTACGGTGTCGTACGAGTAATGTACGATGCCTGATTGAAGTCGTTCCCACGCGGCGCGGGGCGGTGACTGATGGAATGGTTACCACGAGCACGTCAGGTACTGCACACGTTGGACGAGCTTACAGCTGGGTTTACAAGCATGCAGATGGATGGGCATAGCACAGCACAGCGATCAGCACAGCACAGCGATCAGCACAGCACAGCTCAGCAGCGCACGGCACCCTCCAGCCCAGTTGTACATTTTCGTATGGGCGGGTGCACGGCTGCAGCGGTAGTGTAAGGCCGCAACCATGCTGGCAAGTCGGATGCGCAAGCGCACCATTGACAAGCCCCCGAGAAATATTCAAGTTAATCGCAGGTCCTCAATGAGGACCATATTAGCGATTAAGCTAATAAGAACAGATACTACACATGATCTGAGCCAAAAGGCCGAGAAAGGTATGAAAACATCAGGGATGGGCCACGGACGAGTGCACGGCAAAATACTCCTTTGGCGCTTGCGCTCGATGGTGGGGGGTGGTATTTAGAAGCACATTGCTCCCCCTGAAAGCACCTGCTTGCTGTTCCTGGTCCGCAATGTCGGGGCCAAGCAGTAGCTTATTACAGCAGGGCCGATTAAGCTAATGCACAGAGCTGGTGATTCGGCCGCTGCTTCAATCCGTCAGAGCGGTGTAGCGGAGTCCAGTCAGTAGGGACCCATCCATGTCCCTGCCCGCCTGCTGCAGCAGCAGTCAAGGCAGCCGGGTGAAGCTGACGCCACAGACCTTGAAAAAAACAGGCATGCGGAGGTGGAGCTGCGCGTCAGATATCGCGCCTGTAACTGTAGGCTTTATGAGCGAAACGAAAGAAAACCAAAGTTTTCTGTGTATTTGCCGAGCGTGTACTCGGTTGAATGTCCTGGGTGTGTACGGCTGGACCGTACAGGGCTAGAATAAGTCGCAGGAGTGCGACGGAAAGAGCAAGTTCGCGAGTTCATAGCGAGTTCATACTGACAGGTTTCCGCTGCGGCTTCTGCCTAACCTACAGGCTTCAGAAGCAGAGTCGCTCGGTAACCAGGCTCGCCCCCTCCCACGGAAGCAAGCACTAACTTTCCTGCCTGCAGGTACCCCTCCGTCTGAACGACCCCTAAGCGGTAAGGCAACTACTCAAGAAAACAAAGATTTGGCTGTAATAAAGNGCTTGGCATTGTAAAAGCAACGTGTGCCCTGTAATGGACACTTTGGCGCTAGCCAACCGTGAGGCCGCCGCGGCCATGCCATGCGCAGGG